TTGAATTAGTCAACTTTGACAAATGTTATCAAATTCAATTATCCCACAGGAAACGAATTAAATCTGGTACTTTTTTCTTTTTGTCTCGTTTTTTTTTTTTGTTTTCTTCTACGGTTATATCTCTCGTTCAACTTGAAAATTGTTGAAAAATTTATACTTTTAACAGAAATGGCGTCTTTTTTGCTTCTCTATTCTCTCTCTCACTCTGGTCATGTGTTTCGCTTCGAAAATTTCTACTTGGAAATTCTTTCTACGAAAATAATACACGTTTTGTCCGTTTATTGTTGATTTAGATGATTGGAAATTTCCATTTTGAGTAAAGTGTTTCGTGGTTTGAGAACTTGGAGAAAGGTGGTGTCTGTGGTGGGAGTGATGTGGAGAGGAATGGTCGTAATCTGACAGGGTTTAAGCCAAGAGAAAAATAGGAAATAGAGAGAGAATGAGGGAGGGAGAGGGAGGGAAAGAGAGAGAGGGGGGGATAAAAGGAAAGAAAGAAAGAAGAAATGAAAAAGAAGAGGACGTGAAATAAAGACGAAATTAGAAAAAAAAAGGAAAAATCGATAAATAAAAGGAAGAAAGACAGAGAGATAGAGAGATAGATAGATAGAGATAGATAGATAGAGAGAGAGAGAGAGAGAGAGAGAGAGAAAGAGAAAGAGAGAGATCTTTGAAAGTAAGAACAGAAAAAAAAGCTAACCTTTGGATGAGAAAGAAATGAAAAGTGGACGATAACGTGAAAGGAGAAAAGACAAAAATAGAAGGGAGAGAGAATCATTTTGTAAATACATAGATATTAACTTTATTTTGATCTGGCACAAGGTCACACGTTTCGGGCTCCCAGTTAGTAACAAATTCTTTCAGTAGTAATGAACCAAGACATTAGTTTTCTAAACTGTACTCTACAGCTTATTCTGGTACAAGGCGCCCATCAGAATCAAAATTACTAGAGGCTGTGTAACAATTTCGCTAACCACTACTTTTTGACAATGCACACCTGATATTTATTTAACTTAGATATCTGGTAAAAGGCAACAATTTTGGAGGGCTTATTGAGGATTATTAACTCTTCTATGCGTCGTATATCTTCAGGGCGATGCGGATCATGGCTATTCACAATTTCTTGTTCTTTGCAACTCTAAGTAAATATTGTCATCTCTCCTGAAGCCTGGTCTGTCAACCATATCCACAAGCCTGTTTCATCAGTTATGTTTTGTTTTACTCTGTCTCTCTTACCATCAGTTTGTTCCTTTGATTGTCAAATTTACTAAGCTCTCTTTTCTCATTATCTTCCCTAGAAAATTCACTTATAGCTTAAGTATGCGAGTCCTTTTTGTTACTCTGAAATTCATCATTGCACTCTCGTTCAGTCCATGGTATTCCAGCTGCATGTAGCTATTTCAAGAGTAAAACGAAGAGACATAATTGCCAATCAAGTAAGACGCTTAAATAAACAAATACAGTTTGGTACCAGCGTTGGAAGTTGCCGGAAGGTAGCAGAAGACGTCCATCCGCCTTTAGGGCCTCCCCGGTTTAATTCAGAGTTGTCCTTTCTAGACCAGGATCCAGGCTATAGCCCACAGAATAGCTGACGAAGAAGAGTTCCATCTAAGGGGTATTAGTACATAATGGATTCGACTGGAATTGGTGGCTTGGGCCTCCGATTCCTCAATCAAGCCGCTATCCATATATATATATATATATATATAGAAGCATCAACCCGATATATATATATATATATATATATATATATATATATATATATATGTGTGTGTGTGTGTGTATATATATTGATATGATACATTGATGAGTATCAGGGATAAGGCATGTGTAGATAGAAAAATGGATACTGAATATCAACAAGTTCTGTCTGTCCAATCTTTTATTAACTTAATTTCAGAATTAGTTGTTTTAAAGTTAATTTTAATGTTCTTTCTTGCTGCTTACCAATGAAGGTACATTTTTGAAATTAGTCAAAAACCATTACATAAACACACAAAAACGAAATGTTTAAAAATGAATATAGTAACATTCGAAAGTACTCGTACAAAAACAAAGCAAAAATAAAAATGAACTTTACCAATTATAACAACTAATTCAGAAATATAAAAAGTTAATAATATTGGGATAAACAGAACTATATATATATATATATATATATATATATACATATATATATATATATATATATATATATATATATATATATATATAATATATATAATATATATATAAATAAATATAACATTGAAGTCAACACTCCAGAGACGACAAACTGTTTCTTCCTGTCCTGAATGTTGAGTTCATGTCTTTTATATATATATATATATATATATATATGAATGTTGAGTTCAATATATATATATATATATATATATATATATATATATATATATATATATATATATATATATATAAATATAAGTGAACATTGAACTCAACATTCCAGAGGCGACAGGCTGTTTCCATGAAACAGCCTGTCGTCTCAATGTTGATTCAATTT